CAATTCCTGGCGCGCTGCCGCCATATGTAATGGCAGACATCAATATCTGCTACTTGAAAAATGAGCATCATCCCTCGAAATTACGATCAATTTTGAAAGCGAGTCCATAATTGACTGAGGATAAGTGACTGTCGTCACCAAGAAAGCAATGCCACATTACTCAGAAACACTAACGTCGATTCAACGATGCAGTGGCGGCTTTTGAAACAATAAATATATACTTTTTTTACACTTTTAATTTGCACTGTTTGCCATTTCTTACTTAGAATTGCAAGAATCTGTTGTTTAAATAGTTCTCGTTTTAGGTCTACTGTACTAGTCTACGTATCGACGGATCGACACTATTCTGCTGAACGCGTAATAGGAAATAGGCTTAAATGTAACATGTAATGCGACTAAGTAAATATTCGTCTATTGGCCAAACAAAACAATTTGAACTCGAGGCGTCTGTTTTGTTCCGATTCGAAATTAAAATTTATGAAAATTTTAGCAGTTTTTCAATGAGGAATGGCCAATCGCAAGGTCTCTTCCTGAGCAACGGAACACGACACAGAGAACAGCGTATATTCAAGCCCTGAACTAGATTCAAACCCGTGCTTTCAGTATTTTGCGCGGGCACTATGATCGGTACAAAATTAATGTACTTATATACTTTATAAATTAATTTAAAAATTTGTGCTCCAAATGTCGCTAAACAAAACGAATACTAGATCTACATATGACCTTTTTACGATTAACATTTTAAAAATTGAGACTTCCCACGTGACGAACGGTGTTGTTTACACGGTGTATGGGATCAAAATTTAAAATTCATATTCATATTTAATTTTGCCGTAATAATAAAACTGTACACGAAAACATTACGTGATATAATGCACAGAACATAGAAAGAACTTTGCTGAGGTTTCAAAGCAATGAAGATAAAATCATACAAATTTAATCAAGTCAGAACTCATACATATTACTTTCATGTTGAACCTGCTTCTGTACTATGTTCAGTAGTTTTAAGTTTGTATAAATGAATGCTCAGGGCTCGTTCAAATATATTCATACGACCGAATTCCACTCGACTTATAAACTCTTTATTATTGCTGGAAGTTATATTAGTCAATGTCTGCGTGAAAATTCAGTTTCAAATCTCTATCCGAATACTGCAACTTAGCTTATGATAAGAAGTAATTAGAAATATTTTCACATTCAAGCAATAATATGAGCGAAATTATTAACTGCTTCGTAAACAAAACATCCCATCTTCTGCAGAAATTCTCAAATCGCTCATTTCGACAAATTGATTCAAGTCATAAAACCACCTTACAATGTATTTTCCATGGATCAGGCACTTTATGTATGTTCAAGTCATAGACACACTTTCCTTCGTTTACCCCTTAATACTCGTACTTTGACTGAATCCCGCAGAAATAATCCTAGCAGTGTTAAAACAGTAAGAATCACAAACAAACGACACATAACATAATATGAGAACATTTCTGTAAAGATATTTTTTTTCAAAAATGAATATAAACCTACCTCGTCGTATTTGTGAATCCTGAAAAGCGAAAATTTTGTATACCTAAGAATTACATAATTTATGATAATTATCTGATTGAGAAAATGGCTCTAGTGACGCGTTCAGTTGAGCATAAAAAGACGCTACTGATGAAAATTCTGACATCGAATATTTGTAATTGTGAAACTTCAGCCTGACATCGCAGCACAAATTATGACACCATGAACCACACATTAACATCTCTGAGGCGATATACATAGCATGAAAATATATTTCTTTATTAGCCGTCACCAAATTACATTCTTGAAGACCACGGAATGACTTCACTCTTAAACGTGAGGCTCTAAGTCTTCAGCAGAGCGTTGCCAACTTCGCTACACTGCGAGTTCTGGGCCTTACTCACTCGCCAGGTCTCTGCTGTTCGTGTTTCAGCGTAGCGCCATTTTTCTGTGACCTTGAAGCATGCAGTTTGTGACGATTACTATAGAATCTTCAACTTTCTTTCTACCTTCCCTTGTATGTGACGTCACCCACCGACACAGCTAGATTTAAGGCCATGTACACAATGCCCTGGCAGTTGCAAAATGCTTCCTGTTCAGCGATCCTGCCGGAACTTCGTGGGTCTTCGTAATAATATCGACTTCCACGTTGGGAGCTCAGAGAAAAGATGTGGTTTTCTTAGCACTGACTGTTTTTATCTGAGAATGTTCGAATGGTTAGTTGCTGAGCTTAGCACAGGACCGTCATGTGGTCATCGTGTTTTGCAGTGATGCCAACCTCGTTTGGATGACAGGTAGTTTGTAATTTACAGCGGGCGCCCCACGACTCTAAAAAATAATTATATAACGATTATGTTCCCGTATATGATGTACAAACTTGCTAAGCTGGAAATATCGCGAGACTGTGACAAATAATCGGACAATTAGAAATTTAAAACTATTTGCGAGTATTTTAAACTTCTCGCGGGCACCCACAAACCTTTCCCTGGGCAGGCGAGGTGCCTGCTGGAATACGGTTGGCGGTCCTGGCAGTGCAACTTCTCAAATGATAGGCGTAAATTCTTTTATTGTTTTGATGCACTATGTGAGTGTTAAGATGTACTCCGTGGTCAGATCTCAGAGCACCCAGTACTCTTTCACCATTGCTATCTAAACAAGACTGGAAAAACTGCAGTCCATATAGGAGTACACTGGGTTTCTACATGCACTCCTTTCACCTTGGTGATCTGAACGTTTCTCGTTCTACCGAATAGCTTAAATAAATATCACAGATCTTAAAAATTCGATTTTTGGCACTAATTATTCTTTTTCTTATCATAAACTGGTTGTTGAGATGATACCATTGTTTCAAAAACAGGATCTTGACATTAAATATAAATATATATATATTTCTATTGTGGTCAGTTTTCGAAATGCCAAAACAATCCTAAGCGGGTTTCGAGCCCCGAAAGACTCTTCCTAGTTTCAAGTAATAAGCATACCAAGTTTGGTGCAAATCAATATACCCGTTCTCGATCACACACACATAATTTCATATATAAGGTCAGAAACTCTTAAATAGGTCAATATCCGAAGGGCACAATATACCTTCAGTTTGCTAATGACCCTCTAATTTTAAGTAAAGTATACACAAAACAAAACACTCTAATAATCTAAGTAGACACCCGCTTTTCATTTCAAACTTGGCAAACTTCATGTTGTTAAAGCAATATTCCGACATGAACAGCGAAAAACTTGTTCTGGAAGCAGATTATCATACGATCGACGCCAGGTGAAATCAGAATATTTGTTTCTTGCAATTTTAAATGTTACAAATTATTATTATCCCATCTATTCACCACTTTATGGGGTATGTACTTCCATGTACCCGAGACAGACCTTGTCCCTAAGGTACATAGGGCAGCAGCCATTTCCGGGATGCATATTGTTTTTAGCAAGTGACACATGTATTATATAATTTTATTTTATGAAAGCGTCTTTCGAATGATATTTGAAGTTCCCAAAATGGCGGTCTTCTGAAGTTCCCTTTTTTTTTAGTGTTCTGTCTGACGACAGGTCCATATGAACAGGATTCTTCCATCCTTTTCTCGGACTGGGATCTGTTCATATACGTTCTTGGCAGATGATCCATAAGTGGTTTGCCATTGCCTTCTTCTGTGTGTGAATGGAGTAATTGTTGGGATGCCACGGAGGAAAACTCCGTGTTGCCTAGACCACGGCCTTGCCCAACACAAATAATTATTACTTATTATTGTTTGCCTTAGTATTGTAAGATTTGTATTGTTGTTAGTGCTTGGCTGTTATTGGCCTATTCGACTGTTGTCAAGCACTTTAATAAATGAATTTGAATTGAATTGAATCATCACCAAGAATTTAATTGAAGTATTTATAATATTCACCTGACAGGGATAAAAGAACACGAGGCTAAAAAGGATGAACAATGAAGAGATTCATATTTCGTACTTTTCCCTGGAGACTGTGCTGATCAAATCACGGAGAATGTGATCGGCGGGGCATGTAGCAAGCATGGGATAGAAGAGAAGTGCGTACGAAAGAAGAGAGCACTTTGAAGACCTAGGCGATAATGGAACTTTAGGAAATAATGGCGGAGGATATGATCTGGATTAATCTGGCTCAGAATAAAGCTTGGATACTGAGAGGGAATTCAGATTGGCGGTTGCGTTATTCGACATTTTTACAGGTCACAGAAACCACAAAAGTGAGAATACTTACGGATGTTATATGTGGAATAACGACGTCTAGTCCGTATGGATGCACATATCTTCGTAAGTCACTATGGCACTTCACAGTTTTTCAATATCACAGCGTTGTATATTCAGGAGTATCCACACTTTTACACAAAACATAACACTAATTTCCAGGCATTAAAATATACAGACAAATATTTGTCCATTGGACGAGATCCTCAAACAGTGTTAACTATTTGATCTTTGTAATGTTAAAATGTTGTGTTTTCTTTTACGTACGGACTGTTCTCAAATATTATTTAGGAGAGCTCGGCTACTCAACGTTTCATCCCACCTTTCAAATACCTTACATTTACTAAAACAAACCTACCTCTAGAAGAAATACGAGCGGACCATCAAAGCCTCAAATCAAAATATATGTCCCCCTCTCCACTAAGACATTAGTGTCTATCGCTACTCCCTCCAATTTCTCTTCTATCTCTTACAAAGTTGTCCTACTGTCACTGAAGTAGACCTAGTTCTAAGCTACAACGTGGGATTGTGTTCCCGAATAGATTAAACTTCAGTTTTAATACATCCGTGACCTTCACACTGTAAAGTAAATACCCAAAACCACACAAGCAGAATAAACACACGTAATCCTCTTCACTAAACACCGAAACATTTGCGGAACTGCCTGCCAGTGTGGCCAAATATTACAAAAGTAATTTCATGTCTAAGATCGTAACTATCGATACGACTAGCAGAGCCATCTGATGATGATTTTTCTAAATGCGTTCTGCATTTATTTATCGTATTGGAAAATGAAATAAATGGACATTGATATCGATAAAAGAAACAAGTAACGTCTAAGTCCTTTCAAAGACAACAAAAATATATTTCGTAGGCTCCATTACATGAAATCTGATGACCCAAATTTTGAACTAATAGTGGCCGTGTGCAAAGAACGATACACTCTGTTCAAGACACTAGGTTTTAGCAAGACAAACATAATATTGTTATGTGAGATCTGCCATCATAAATTTATATTCCTACAGCCAGCTGGAACTTATTCTTCCGAGAGATCATTGAACTGACCGCAGCCTTCACAGAATACTACGTGCCCTGCGTAAGAAAGTTATTTATTATTTTTAATTTCAAGTTATTATTCTAATGGGCCATACATCATAAGCTTTTACCTGCTGTAGAAACCGTCACCAAATTGAAAGCTTCAACGCCACGGAAGGACTCTCTCCCCCCCCCCTTTCCACGCGGCTACAAACTACCGTTGGAGTGTTCCTAGTCCTTCTACGCTGCTATAGGTCTTCCAGAGTGAAGCTTGTGACTATAGCCTTGCAATATTTGCTAAACGCGTGAGGTGTTCGTTTGTCAGAAGCAAAATTATCCATTCTGTTGAATAACACAAAATCAAGCTTCAAGAAAGCACCGTTAAACACCAACACCTGTTAACTCTTCTTTTGATAGCACAGTACTGCACTCAAAATCACGACGTACACAAGCCATGCAACTGATGTAGTGGCTGTTCCGTCTACCGTACACTATCCCGCTGATTATTAAATAAAAGTACATTTTATTGGATGAAATTTAAACATTTAAATAAACTCTAAACACTTGAAATGTACTACGAATTGATTAAAGTACATTATTACGAAATACAGTCGTACTGCAACTCTCGGATTTGTAAATGTAAACATATCCGTAGAGGGTGAGAGCAATGGAAGTAAAAGCTTTGAAGAACCCGTGCGCTTCGCTCTTATATCTGGATTGTTCATTGTTCTGAGCTGTTTTCACACGCTTGGACACCGTCGCATCGATGTATGATTTTGCTGTGACCTTGGATGATGCAGATTGGTTATAGTTGATAATTTAATGAAAGCGATGCAGCTCGTTCTGTCTCATATAGTGATTGAGTTAACAACATGCAGGTGTTTGAACATATGGACGGGTTCCTCCATGCAGCATAAACAAATGATTTCTTTGGTAGGAGAGCTTTAATGTTTAACATCTCTACCACTAAACTTCACCTTTGCATCAAATCCATAGCCAGTACACACAAATTATGAATATAATTAACAAGACTCGTATTTTTGTACACTGAGCATTATACAAACGGTTAATGTTGTTCCTTTTAAATTATGAATTTTTGGTGTGTTCATGCCTTAGCGTAAGTGAAGAACATTACACGAGCCCACATGTCTGCCAATTATAATACACTAAAATGTGTTTATTTTCTTATTAACCTCGGTTTTGCAGGGTTAAATCAGCTCCTGTCCGCTGGAGAAAGTGGTCAATCGATACCTATCGATACAAAACTTACGATACATAAAAAACTATTTTTTTTAGTGTTCTGTCTGACGACAGGTCCATATGAACAGGATTCTTCCATCCTTTTCTCGGACTGGGATCTGTTCATATACGTTCTTGGCAGATGATCCATAAGTGGTTTGCCATTGCCTTCTTCTGTGTGTGAATGGAGTAATTGTTGGGATGCCACGGAGGAAAACTCCGTGTTGCCTAGACCACGGCCTTGCCCAACACAAATAATTATTACTTATTATTGTTTGCCTTAGTATTGTAAGATTTGTATTGTTGTTAGTGCTTGGCTGTTATTGGCCTATTCGACTGTTGTCAAGCACTTTAATAAATGAATTTGAATTGAATTGAATCATCACCAAGAATTTAATTGAAGTATTTATAATATTCACCTGACAGGGATAAAAGAACACGAGGCTAAAAAGGATGAACAATGAAGAGATTCATATTTCGTACTTTTCCCTGGAGACTGTGCTGATCAAATCACGGAGAATGTGATCGGCGGGGCATGTAGCAAGCATGGGATAGAAGAGAAGTGCGTACGAAAGAAGAGAGCACTTTGAAGACCTAGGCGATAATGGAACTTTAGGAAATAATGGCGGAGGATATGATCTGGATTAATCTGGCTCAGAATAAAGCTTGGATACTGAGAGGGAATTCAGATTGGCGGTTGCGTTATTCGACATTTTTACAGGTCACAGAAACCACAAAAGTGAGAATACTTACGGATGTTATATGTGGAATAACGACGTCTAGTCCGTATGGATGCACATATCTTCGTAAGTCACTATGGCACTTCACAGTTTTTCAATATCACAGCGTTGTATATTCAGGAGTATCCACACTTTTACACAAAACATAACACTAATTTCCAGGCATTAAAATATACAGACAAATATTTGTCCATTGGACGAGATCCTCAAACAGTGTTAACTATTTGATCTTTGTAATGTTAAAATGTTGTGTTTTCTTTTACGTACGGACTGTTCTCAAATATTATTTAGGAGAGCTCGGCTACTCAACGTTTCATCCCACCTTTCAAATACCTTACATTTACTAAAACAAACCTACCTCTAGAAGAAATACGAGCGGACCATCAAAGCCTCAAATCAAAATATATGTCCCCCTCTCCACTAAGACATTAGTGTCTATCGCTACTCCCTCCAATTTCTCTTCTATCTCTTACAAAGTTGTCCTACTGTCACTGAAGTAGACCTAGTTCTAAGCTACAACGTGGGATTGTGTTCCCGAATAGATTAAACTTCAGTTTTAATACATCCGTGACCTTCACACTGTAAAGTAAATACCCAAAACCACACAAGCAGAATAAACACACGTAATCCTCTTCACTAAACACCGAAACATTTGCGGAACTGCCTGCCAGTGTGGCCAAATATTACAAAAGTAATTTCATGTCTAAGATCGTAACTATCGATACGACTAGCAGAGCCATCTGATGATGATTTTTCTAAATGCGTTCTGCATTTATTTATCGTATTGGAAAATGAAATAAATGGACATTGATATCGATAAAAGAAACAAGTAACGTCTAAGTCCTTTCAAAGACAACAAAAATATATTTCGTAGGCTCCATTACATGAAATCTGATGACCCAAATTTTGAACTAATAGTGGCCGTGTGCAAAGAACGATACACTCTGTTCAAGACACTAGGTTTTAGCAAGACAAACATAATATTGTTATGTGAGATCTGCCATCATAAATTTATATTCCTACAGCCAGCTGGAACTTATTCTTCCGAGAGATCATTGAACTGACCGCAGCCTTCACAGAATACTACGTGCCCTGCGTAAGAAAGTTATTTATTATTTTTAATTTCAAGTTATTATTCTAATGGGACATACATCATAAGCTTTTACCTGCTGTAGAAACCGTCACCAAATTGAAAGCTTCAACGCCACGGAAGGACTCTCCCCCCCCCCTTTCCACGCGGCTACAAACTACCGTTGGAGTGTTCCTAGCCCTTCTACGCTGCTATAGGTCTTCCAGAGTGAAGCTTGTGACTATAGCCTTGCAATATTTGCTAAACGCGTGAGGTGTTCGTTTGTCAGAAGCAAAATTATCCATTCTGTTGAATAACACAAAATCAAGCTTCAAGAAAGCACCGTTAAACACCAACACCTGTTAACTCTTCTTTTGATAGCACAGTACTGCACTCAAAATCACGACGTACACAAGCCATGCAACTGATGTAGTGGCTGTTCCGTCTACCGTACACTATCCCGCTGATTATTAAATAAAAGTACATTTTATTGGATGAAATTTAAACATTTAAATAAACTCTAAACACTTGAAATGTACTACGTAATTGTTGGGATGCCACGGAGGAAAACTCCGTGTTGCCTAGACCACGGCCTTGCCCAACACAAATAATTATTACTTATTATTGTTTGCCTTAGTATTGTAAGATTTGTATTGTTGTTAGTGCTTGGCTGTTATTGGCCTATTCGACTGTTGTCAAGCACTTTAATAAATGAATTTGAATTGAATTGAATCATCACCAAGAATTTAATTGAAGTATTTATAATATTCACCTGACAGGGATAAAAGAACACGAGGCTAAAAAGGATGAACAATGAAGAGATTCATATTTCGTACTTTTCCCTGGAGACTGTGCTGATCAAATCACGGAGAATGTGATCGGCGGGGCATGTAGCAAGCATGGGATAGAAGAGAAGTGCGTACGAAAGAAGAGAGCACTTTGAAGACCTAGGCGATAATGGAACTTTAGGAAATAATGGCGGAGGATATGATCTGGATTAATCTGGCTCAGAATAAAGCTTGGATACTGAGAGGGAATTCAGATTGGCGGTTGCGTTATTCGACATTTTTACAGGTCACAGAAACCACAAAAGTGAGAATACTTACGGATGTTATATGTGGAATAACGACGTCTAGTCCGTATGGATGCACATATCTTCGTAAGTCACTATGGCACTTCACAGTTTTTCAATATCACAGCGTTGTATATTCAGGAGTATCCACACTTTTACACAAAACATAACACTAATTTCCAGGCATTAAAATATACAGACAAATATTTGTCCATTGGACGAGATCCTCAAACAGTGTTAACTATTTGATCTTTGTAATGTTAAAATGTTGTGTTTTCTTTTACGTACGGACTGTTCTCAAATATTATTTAGGAGAGCTCGGCTACTCAACGTTTCATCCCACCTTTCAAATACCTTACATTTACTAAAACAAACCTACCTCTAGAAGAAATACGAGCGGACCATCAAAGCCTCAAATCAAAATATATGTCCCCCTCTCCACTAAGACATTAGTGTCTATCGCTACTCCCTCCAATTTCTCTTCTATCTCTTACAAAGTTGTCCTACTGTCACTGAAGTAGACCTAGTTCTAAGCTACAACGTGGGATTGTGTTCCCGAATAGATTAAACTTCAGTTTTAATACATCCGTGACCTTCACACTGTAAAGTAAATACCCAAAACCACACAAGCAGAATAAACACACGTAATCCTCTTCACTAAACACCGAAACATTTGCGGAACTGCCTGCCAGTGTGGCCAAATATTACAAAAGTAATTTCATGTCTAAGATCGTAACTATCGATACGACTAGCAGAGCCATCTGATGATGATTTTTCTAAATGCGTTCTGCATTTATTTATCGTATTGGAAAATGAAATAAATGGACATTGATATCGATAAAAGAAACAAGTAACGTCTAAGTCCTTTCAAAGACAA